TCCGCGGCCAGAGCTGTCCTGCGCCGGAGGTTTGCCTGGGGGCGGGGCTGGAGCCAAGGCTGGGAGGCGCTTGTAGCAGCCTGAGTCTTGTACTAACGGGAAGGAACTTGAGCTGTCGTTGGCTGGGGGCGTTTCTTTCAGCCTTCAGAGGTGGGGAACCTTTTTAGGGTCCGGGGCTGCTGACCCACAGGAAAATCAGTCAGGGGCCATGCGCAAGTGAAGGGAAAAAACCCCAATCATCACTGATGTGAAACCCTACCTCCTCCTCCCATTTGCGAAGGAGAAAGACACTCCCTGCATTCCCCTCCCACACCGTAGCTAGTGGAGCCCAGGCTAGTAGGTTTTATGTGCTGTGGGCCAGCAGGAAGGCTGGCCAGCCATCCCTCCTTTACACCTTCCCCCATGGTCATGATGAGTTGAGGAACAGCAGTGGGATAGTGCAGGAAAGTTTGGCCTGATACTTCTGCTAAGCAAAGGATTTAAGTCAACAAAGAAATGGTGCATAATTGATGTGTGTGATAAACATTGGTATTGCTTTTTTTAAAAAGAGCATGATATCTAGTTTTCAGAGTTACAGCCATCCCTCCTTTACACCTTCCCCCATGGTCATGATGAGTTGAGGAACAGCAGTGGGATAGTGCAGGAAAGTTTGGCCTGATACTTCTGCTAAGCAAAGGATTTAAGTCAACAAAGAAATGGTGCATAATTGATGTGTGTGATAAACATTGGTATTGCTTTTTTTAAAAAGAGCATGATATCTAGTTTTCAGAGTTACTAATTTATGGGATAGTAATTTGTGGACTCATTCTTTTTTTCATGAAACTTCAATCATGTTTTCATAAAAAGTGGCTGAGTTACTTCCTTGCTTGTTGATGGGTATGCATGGCAAGTACCACAACTGTTTACATGGAGTTAGCTAAGAAGGTATCCTGGAATGCAGTTCAGCAATGAAAATTATTACTAGTTTTATGTTACCAACTATTTCTCTGCAAATCTCAGAAGACACTCTCTAGATTGTCAGCTGTCCAATCAACAAATCTACCAAATTTAACAGTTACACCTATGAGGTTTTTTTTGTTACCATGAACAAAACTTTTTAAAATGTTTTATCCTGTTCACTGTGTGGAAGACCCACACAAACAGGGGATGCTGATTTTTACATGGGTAATGCATCTAACTGTACAGTCAAGTTCACAAAATAAGTAATGGAAAATAGTTACATAAAATTCTTTTTGTCCTGTATTGTAAAATTAAGAAGGGACAACAATTAACTCTCCTTTTGAAATTGTAAAGAAATGTGACTCACCAGACCTTTACAAATTTCCAGACACATTTGTTCAATAATATAATATTTATGAAAGATTAAAAACTAAATATGTCTTATTAAAGGATAAAAAATGCATGCTTTTGTTCAAAAATATCTTTGTGCTGTAACACTGGGAGGCTAAACTTCCTCTTTTCTGGATGATTTGAGAAAGCTGAGGAGTTACATGGATTTCCTTCCTAGATCTTCGTTCGCGAAGCCAAACCATGATGATGGGTGATGACTTGTTAATTCAGTGGTTCTCCAGCTTTCCTCAGGTTGTTCGTTGGTGGCTAGCAGAGTTCTGGCTGATAATGTACCTTTTTTTTTTTTCTTGTTACCAGTTCTTAAATTGCATTGAAGAGACTCAACATATTTTTAGTTGTCTGTTGTCGTGCACTCTCATGGGCAATTGCTGTAGCTGACACGGGTATTTTCTAGTTGTGAACATAGGAAGTGATACATAATACAATTGTTTTATGAAGAGGCGGTGTTAAAATGTAAATATTCCAGAGCTCATGTCAGTATTTCAGTTACTTGGACTTCTACTAGAAATATGATAGGATCTTTGATTGGTTTTGTTAGCATAGTTAAATATGTTCTTGGAAGGAAAAGTACTTGGCCCTTTACAGTTGGTGCCCTTGCTAGAGGCTTGTCAGTAAGCTGATGGCTGGACCAAATTTGCATGTAAAAGTCCAAATCTTCATAATATCTAAAACATCTATTTCTATGTCTGACTTCCTTGATAGAGCAGTTACTATAGTTTCCTCACCATGTAGATACTTTATCATTTGAGCACATACGTTGTTTGGTCTATGCTCCAAGGAGCTTCGTCAAACAAAGACACAGTTAATCCAAGGACAAACTGAAGTCCCAAATTGCAAAAAGGGTTAAGATTTTGGATTAAATATCCTTTTAAACAAAGATTGACATCTTTTGTAGATTTTTTTTTTTTTTCCACTGTGACTGTGGCCCACCATTTGATTTTTGGCTGTTATGTTCTGAACCATTCTCCTATGGTGTCTTAAAGATAAAAAGGGTTGTATGGTTGCTTTGTTTTTGCTAGAGCCAAGTAAAATTAAGTTCATAGCAAAATATACAAATTGAAACTTAGCTGTGTCAATAAACATTTGGTTTATTTTATCAGTCTTTGCTGGGGATGTGAAGAACTAGTGGACAAGCAAATACTTATCGGGTAATCAACAGGCTAGTTGATTAATCCCTCTCCCCCCACTGCCTCTATCAGAAAAAGGCAGCAAGGGGGAGGAATAAAAAGGGGGTACTTCAAAGTGATAGCTGGGGTTTCCCCAGGCTGCACACTGCATTTCAAAGCAGCAGTACTCTGTGTAGCCTGGGATCAGCTGGGGACTCCCCTGCTGACCCTGGGGCTTCAGGTGGCACTGCCACTTTAAAACGCTGTATGAAGCCTGACACTGCGCTCACCACGGTGTTTCAAAATGGCAGCGCCGCGTGGAGCCCAAGGTTAGCAGGGTAGTCCCCAGCTGACCCCGGGCTCCAAGGGGCGCTGCTGCTTTGAAATGCTGGGAGGAGCATGATGCCTAGGGCTGTTACACTTCAAAGGCGGAGATGCCCTGTTGACTAGTTGATGCAAAATGCATCAACTATTCGATTAGTCAGTTACTCGCAATTTAATATCCCTAGTCTTTATCCACTTTTTTAGACTTTCACCAGTGTTCTTTATTTATTTCTTCCTCTCTTCTCTGCATCTTTCACCTCTTCTGGTTTTACATTTTTCTCTGAAACTTTCATTTTATCTTTTTTATTTTATTTACCATGATTCCTTTTTTAAAGCGATATTCACTCTTACCTAGAACGTCTGCTGGTGGATTTTTTTCATTATCCCATCAGTGTTGGTCTTCCTCTTAATTAAAGTGAATTACTAGATAACAGATGTGTTCCTTCATTCACCCTAATGCCTGAATTTATTATATCCACAGGTGTGCACCATCTGTCACCCTAATGCCTGAGTTTATTATGTTCACAGGTGTGCACTACCTCTATTTGTCCAGGGAGAAAGGATCTGTCATTAATTAAAAAAGTGGCTTTCCTTCCTTTTCTTATCTCCTCTCCTTTGTTGCCCTTCATCTCCATTTTCTTCTTTCTTTTTTCAGTAAGTGCCTAGTTTTTTGCTCCACAATAGCCATGACAGAAACTAATCAGTTTGACTTATGTTCTGGCTAGGGACGTAATTGTATAGTTGATTAACCAATAAACAAAAGCTTATAGGTTAATGCTGTAGACTACACAAATTCCCCCTTCCCCTTGCCAGTAAACTTTTTAGCAGGTAGGCCAGCAGCATGTCCAAGTCCGGGAGCTCAGATGCCCTCTGGACAGGGGTTGCTGCCTCTATATCAGAGACAACAGCGCAGGGTGACAGACAGTTGGTCCATGAGGGGAGCTGGTATTTAAATTGGCTCCCCTTGCAGACCAGTTCGTGCCTGGCAACCTATGTTGCTGCCTCTGATACAGAGGCAGCAAAACAGAGTAGCTGGGGGCTCCTCGGGAGTGGGGCCAGATTGCACTGACTGCCAGCCCCACCCCCGGAGGCTATAGACTATTTGAGTAACTAATAAGAGTTCATGAGGTTAATTGACTATTCAATTAATCAATATTTAAAATCCCTAGTTTCTGTTCCAGAACTTGTGCTGAGGTGCAGAGATAATCCTCCGTTGTCTGAGATACAGTGGGTGATAGAATAGAGAGCAAATACTTTTGGTTGCTTCTCTGTTCCCTTGCAGAATACCTAATTAATATCAGGTCACATAACTATATCTTTGTGGCACTTGCAGAAATTTTCCCATGGGGAGAACTCAGGAAGAAATCAACTTTTGTGTAATTTGGGAATAATGTGGGATTCCTGTGCTATATTTAAATATTCGCTTTTGATGACACTTGTTGCAGTGTACAATTGAAGAAATTAATCATTCACCTATTGGAAGATGGATGCATTACAAACTTTTCCAGAAGCAAGCATAGTATGTTGTGGCCAAAACTATTCCATCTGGTATTCCATTTAGTGGTGTGGCATGTGTGTTTGTGTGATTTTAAGTTGCTTGTCATAGGTGCGCCTAGTACAACCAAGCAGTGATTTTTCTCTGTTCACTAAGTAGCCTTAATTTCCTACTGTACTCTCTCAGTATGATATTAGGTGCTTCTCTGCAAAGAGGTCATAGGGTAAAATATTACACATCATAATGAAAAACTGGGCCAATAACTGTCTAAAGTTTAGTCAACACTATGGTGTATGTTAATACAAAACTTTAAGCCATTTTGAGTCAAAATATAGATGTTGAAATGTTATTATAGATATATTTTAATCATTTATTTCTTTCTCCAGAAATCAATGAAAGGATTTTTTTTTGCTAAACTCTGTTATGAAGCGAAAGAGTATGAACTGGCTAAAAGGTAAAATATGTTTTGTTCTGTTCTACAAAGAGCTTTACTCCTACAGAAATTAAATGTAACAATACCAGTTGTTCAAAGTAATTTCTGATGCCTAATACTGAATGATCAAAATTGTTACTTCCAGACAGTGCTGATGGCTCTTACTTGATACAGATCCATTGAGTTGCTAATGGGGGAACTCTGAAATATTGGACTGAAAAGCATTCTCTATTCAGATGTCTGTAATTCAGACAAAATAGCGGGACTTGATATTTTAGCTTCCATAAATTCTTTCCAAGGCTAATTCTGTGCTGGTACTTTACAGTGCTATAACTTTCTGGCTCATGGGTACGAAAAAACACTCAATCACCCTCCAAGCACAGCAAGTTATAAGCTCTGTAAAGCACCAGTGTGAACCAGGCTATACAGTACAGGCAGAGCTCTCCCAACACTTGTGCCATGACCACACTTTCAGTTTAATGTGCTGCTGGTGGCTTGTCTTTAAATTTTTAACAAGCCCTAAGTGATTTGCAGACAAGTCTTATTAGATACGCACGTTTACTGGCAAACAGGAAATGATGGCCCATAACAGAATAATATTGGATGATCTTTGAGACTGGATCTTTGAGACCCTGAAACAGAAACCTGGAACTGCACTTGCTGCTTACTATTCACCCTTGTAGTACAGAACACTTATTTACAGTCTTATAAAATTTATCTGTGTATTTCAGGGTTTGTTTTAGAATTATTCATTACATATTGATATAGCAACTGTTTTATTGCAGGTACATATGTACTTATCTTAATGTACAAGAGAGAGATCCCAAAGCGCACAAATTTCTGGGCCAACTCTATGAAGCTGAAGATAATGTAGAAAAAGCTGTGGGTTGCTATAAGGTGAGAAGTAAAAGTAATCAGTTCAAATGATTCTTGAATTCTGAACAAATCCCAGAAGGGGTTTAGTTTTGCTTCTTATTTCTTTCTCAGCGTGTTACTAGAAAACCTTGAGTTAACATGTACTCAAGTTTGAGTTATAAACTTAACTGAAAAATCTAATTGGAATGCATTCTGCATTATTTAAAAATTGTCATGAGTCTTACTGATAATTGGTCTGGTTCTAGATAATGTCTGTTATTCAGGGACAGGTATAATTCTCCTCTTTTCCTACCCTGTGCAATCTCTCCCCTGTTGCTGTATTAAAAATAAGCAAAACCAAAGCAAACTAACTTGATATCCCTGGGAAAAGAAAGTCTATGGTCAGTACTGTCAAATGCACAGATTAAAAACATTGAAAGAAATAGAAGAAATTCTACTGTTAATACAATACCAAAGATAAGAGTAAAGAAAATTCAAATTGAAGTAACCGTAGGCTGTATCTGTCCTGGAACTGATCTTTAAGAAAACCTACCATTAACTTCTTCCCACACTGAAACTTGATTAATAGGGAGTTTAAGTGGGTAGAATACTTTTTAAAATAAGGCATTGAGATTGCCCTAGAATTCCCTAAACAAGGATCCCTATAATTTTATGGTGTGGTTTCCAGTTGCTAATAAACTGCATTGCAGATTCAGGGCCAAAGCTCATTTGATCTGGAATGTTCCATCAGCATATAAAGCTGTATAACTACCAGCATGTTTCTTCTCCTTAATTACTTTTTGAAAAATAAGCTTACTTATAAGCATATTCAAAACATCTTTCATATAGTGTAGTACTATGACAGAATTTTGAAGCTGTTTTCATTGCAAACTTAAAACTGTAAAAGTAGATACAGATGAGTACTGCTGATGAGCATGAATAGATGTTTTGCTAATCTAGTTATATGCTGAAATGCTTCATAGTTCTAACTATAAAAAAATAACAGCTGTTTGGTTTTTTTTTTTGTGGCGGTGAAATACTAGCGTTCAGTGGAGTTGAACCCAACACAGAAAGATCTTGTACTGAAGATTGCAGAATTATTGTGTGACAGTGATGTTACTGATGGAAGAACAAAATACTGGGTTGAGAGAGCTTCTAAACTCTTCCCTGGAAGCCCTGCTATTTACAGATTGAAGGTAAACTGAATCTTTTGAGTGTGTATGTGGTGGGGGGGGGGGTTATGCAGTTGTTTTAAGCTAGGGCCAAGACAGACTTCACTACCAAACTTTAGCCTGTCGATTTCATCTCATTATTTTTTTGAGTGGGTGGGAGAGGAAGGAGAGATGTTTATCTAAACCTGTGGTTCTGAACACCATATTGGGCTCAGGACCCATTTTTATATCTTGAATGGGCCAATGCTGCTCTTCCCCACAGGAGTCTTTTGGAGAGTCAAGGGCAGGATGTGTAGAGCTAAGATTCCAGAAGCAGACAGGTGGGAAACCCCTTAGCAGGAGTCTGGGGGAGGGAAAGTGAGCTGAGCCAAAAACGGGGTTTTTATATGGTACGAGGTGTGAAAGGAAAGTAAAATGTGGAGGGGATCAGTGGTCCTGGAAGTGAGGTGGGGAGATTCGAAGGCCTGGAAGCAGTGTTCCCTCTAACTTTTTCCATCCCTGTGCAGAATAAATTCTGTGATGTGCCCCAAGGTATGTGAGGGTGTGTACCACCATAGAAACACATGCTGCTGTATGTGAGTGCTATGGGCACTCTGCTGATTAGCTGGGCGGCACCGAAATATCTCCTGGGCGTAGTGGAGAAGTAAATGGGAGACACTGGAAAGGTATGAGTTCATAGGAACCTAGCGGAAGACAGCAAGCTGCTAGCTCCCAAAATACCATAGTTCCTACATGCCCCTTGGGGGACAGAGGCTAAAGGTATGAATGGATTTGGAATCCTGGGCCCAAGTGAGAAGGGCCACACAGTGAGGAGAGTTCTGGGGAATAGGATGGACAGTAAGATGCAAGAGTCACTTGGCTGTGGGCCAGGGAATTGAGGTGGGGGTAGTTAACTGAGAGTATGACACCAACCACATTCTCAGGACTCCTGTTGTACAGGACTTGGTGGGCGCACCTCCTATTACCAAGAATTGTGAGTTCAGCTGGGCAAAATTTGTGAGTTGTTGCAGCAGCCTGGTGATTGGAGTCACTGTGCCACAAAAGTTGTGCTCAGCTGGCTCCCCATAGTCATGACGAAAGGGATGGCTGGGTCAAAACTGAGCAGAACGGTGAATCAGTGCAGCATATCACAGCATCCGCAAATGAGGAGCTGTGCTCAGCCGGCATTGCAACTCTGATGCATTTGGTGACCCAATTTTGGGTCACAGCCTACAGGTTGAGAAACACTGGTCTAAATAGGTTAGGAGTCATCACATATCTTGAGTCTGACTTGAGTTCTTCTGTAATTTGAGATTGTCTCCATGGTCTTTAATCATTGACGATCAGCACATTTGAAGTCTTTGAAGTGTTGTGATTGATGTCTGATGTACTTTAAAAAATTGCCATTAGTTTTTGTGTCTTCAAATACTTTTTTTGCATACCTAATTATACTTTTCCATTTGACTTGCTTAGAGTTTATGCTCCTCACTGTTGTCCTCACTAGGATTAACTTTTTTGAAATATTTTTCATGAGAAGTTACAGAATTTATTTATGATCACTGATTCATGGGGGGAAATTGATGCAGGGAAAACTTCCTGATATATGACAACACTTCTAGTTCTGGCAAGTAGCAAGATAGCAGATGTTTAAACTGTTGTTGATTTCTTTGTCTAGTGATGCATTTTCTGATCTACGTTTATGACTAGTTTATACCTGTCAAGGACCAAGCTCCATTTCAAAAACTCACACTTTATTTATTTGTTTTTGAATTGTCTGGGAAAAATTGTGGACATCTCAAATTGTTAGAATCCTTAACTTTTTGTATTGATTATAGATCTATAGAAATGCTGTTTTTATTTAAATATCTGAAGTCCATCAGAGAGACTGACTTTCCTGTGCTTTTCCCCTGAGAAAAGTAGCAGGTTTTTTTTTTTTTTTTTTTTTTTTGGATGACATAGATGAAATAGATTCCTATTTTCTATACTCTTGAGTAAATATTTGGATAAATGTTTGCTTTTTAAATCTTTTTGTTGTTGCTTTGGTTCCCAATATGTGGGTCTGTATTTTAACTCATTCAAAAAGAAAAGAGTAGTGAAGTTTATTGTTTTCTGGTAACTAAGGATCTGTGGTCTGTTTTCTATATGAATGCATTTGTTTTCTAAGTATGGCAGCAATAATGTAGCTCGTTGTCTGCTTTAAAAGTTAACTCTTCTTTCTTAACAAATTAATCCTTTGCTAGAGACAATGGTATAAATTAGCGTATAAGGAAAAGAATATTCTATAAAACCAAAAGCCTAATTAATAGATCTTAGTGTTCTCTGAAACTCCTTATGCGCTTACTTCACTAAAGAAACACTTTTCAAAATATATATATATATAATTTCACTTCTGTTAAGTTTAGGCAAAGTATACAAATTCTCATTTCATGTCATAAAGCCTGACACTTTCAAATGGAAACTCTCTAGTCACATAGTAATAAAAAAAAACTTTAAATAGAAAATATTAAAAACAGACTGCTTTTGTTTTTAAATAGGAACAGTTGCTAGATTGTAAAGGTGAAGATGGATGGAATCAGCTTTTTGATCTGATACAATCAGAACTCTATGCAAGACCAGATGATGTCTATGTAAACATCAGGCTAGTAGAGCTATACCGCTCAAATAAAAGACTGAAGGATGCTGTGACTCACTGTCGAGAGGCAGAGAAGAAAATACCTATGCGATCAAGCTTGCAGTGGTGCTTGTGTATTGTACAGACACTGAAGGTTTGTTAAATCCATACTGTGGTTTTGAGAACCTTGTTTTCTATACTTTTGTATTAGGATGATTCTTTAGTGGAAATAATGTCTAACCTTTGAGAAGTGTGTGTGTGGGGGGGAGAAGGGGCAGAGGGAACACAAATAGTGCAGAGCATCAGGACTGTGGAAGCATCCTCTTTTTTTAAACAAGTCCTCCCCAAAAAAAGGGGGTACACCATACTCTGTACTTCATTACATTTGAGCGTAATGTTTTATATGTAAGTCTGTTGGGTTTGTCTCTCTTGAACAGAGCTGGCTTACTTCAGTCTTTGGTGGAGAGCCTTTGTCTCTGGAAAATAGGGGAAAATATTAGGAAAATATTGGAAATATTAGGATCCTACCTTGCAAACTGGAATATTCTGTGAACGTAACTTACATGGTGTCTGGTTGGAACTGTTATCACCCCGAGAAAGGTGACTAAACTGTCTTCTGATAAATCTTTCTTTAGGAATATCTAGAATCTGCACAGGACTTAGAGTCTGAAAAAAGTAACTGGAGAACTACCAACAGAGATCTCTTGCTGGCCTACTCCAATCTTGTAGTAATGACACTTTCTACTAGAGATGTTCAAGAAAGCAGAGAATCGCTTGCAAGGTACTATGTTCATTCGATTCTGACTGCAAAAGACTTGTATAATCTCTTGTCAAGGGGTGTCATTTTGTGCTATGGAATTTTTTGTGTCGGGGGGGGGGGGGGGGGGGGGGAGGAAGGAGAGAACTCTGCACTAGTTACCGAGGTTGGTACTTTTGTTCTATCCTTACTGGTGCTGTCCATCTGCCATCAGTCTGCTGATTGATGGACTAGAACTGATGCATATATCTTTACTTTAGTCTGGGGTTGAAGACTCGTAATATTTTCCCCATAAGTTTATACGTGGTCCCTTGCTTGTCTCTTTACAAAGTGTTCTATCTTGCTAGGAATCTACTATATAATTTAGAAAGTTTCTGTCTGTCTGTCTGAGTCTATGTATTCAAGAACTTCTCCTAAATGGTAAGAGCTAGGACTACCAAATTTGGTAGACAACTTCTCTTATCATAACTTAAAGCAAGGTAAGAGTTTGGTTGCCAGGACAATAGGATGTGCCTGAAATGTATTTCTCATCAAACAGAAAAAGTAGGCACTCCCAGGGACAACTATACTTCAGAATGAACACGGGGACAGCAAGTGCCCCAGACCTGGGGAGCAGCTGCCAGCCAGGCAGCATGACTCCAGGCTAACCCTGGGGAGCAGCTGCTGGTCACCCACACCTCCTTCCTTGACTTCTGCATCCTATGCCCTGAGCCCCTTCTCACTCCCAACTCTGACTCCTACACCTTCCCTCAATCCTCTGCCCCTCTTTGCTCCCTGCCCTGAAGGACCCGAGCAATGTTGGCTAAATCTTCTATTTGAACAACCACCAGAGTATGTCTTCATATTGCTCAAGCAGCACAGGAGGGCATTTCATCATCAAAAAAGAAGAAAGGAAGCACTTATAAGCTTGCATACCAGCTTATCTCAGCCTCTGGTGTAAAAGTTCTTTAGAACTAAATTGCATTTACACACATACACAAACTGATGTATTTGAATCTCTCCACTCCTATACTGTGCCAGTAGCAAAATTGCAACCAATATTGAGGTGATACTTTCCTTCCAGACTCCTTTGATCTGTTAACCAGACTCCTCAAACAAATCTTTCCTCTGGTTTGAAATCTCATGCTTTTGGCTTGGGCATCTGAAAAATTTAACTCCAGGAGCAACCCAGCAGATCTTTGTGTATAATAGTAATAGTTCAACAGCTGGATAAGAGGCACTGTAGCTGGACACTTTTTTTTTCTGGAGGGGAATCATTAGGTTTCTGTAACTAGTAAATACTTAAATATTTCTGCTTGTGTGAAAATTGCTTGCCCATACTCAGTCATCTTTTTCCTTAGCTCCTTTATTACTTGTGCAGTAGCTTCTTAAGTCACTTCCTTTTTTGTGTGTGTGTAGTTGTAGTTTACGCATCCTAGCAGGCACTACAGGATTGGGAAACATTACTTGAAAAAGTGTGGGCCATGTCATTTGGACTGCGCTCTCTCTCAGACTTTCTAAAGCAAAACAAGTTTGGCTTGGTTATCAGTTGAATGGGTGGCCAGCTGAGAAATATAGTGCCCTGTGCTTTTTGCTATTGCAATATTACTACAGGCAGTCCCCGGGTTACGTACAAGATCGGGACTGTAGGTTTGTTCTTAAGTTGAATCTGTATGTAAGTCGGAACTGGCGTCAGCCGCTGCTGAAACTGATCAGTTTC